CGCCGTATCATCCACAACCAAAAGTGTAAATCGAAACCTTAAGAGGAGGCTTGTTGCTCAGACGGAGCGTCACAAAGACTGGGATGCGAAGCTCATAGAAGTGGCCTTCGCCCCCCGCACCACGGTTAACCGGTCAACCGGGCTCACCTCTGCCCAGCTCAAGTTCGGCAGAGAGCTTTCTTTTCCTCTCACTAACACCCTCCGTTTGACAGAGTCCAGGGCACAGATCCGCAACTACACAAAGGTCGCAGACGACCTGCGAAAGCGTTTCACTATCAACCTGAAGGAAGCCCGAGAGAACCTTGATGTTTTCAGACTACAGCAGTCCGAGCAGTACGACCAGGGACGCCGAGACCTGCAGTTCGAGATGGGAGACTTGGTGCTCAGGCGCCCCTGAGTGACGTGGCCAAAGGCTTAATGGCCTCACTGGCCAACAGGTGGGATGGTCCATTTCGTATAGGCAAAAAGCTTTCTCCGCTTATGTACACACTAATTCATTATTTCAGTGGTGAGTCCACAGGACCAACTCATGTCACCGAACTTAAACAATTCCACATCTCGGAAGATGGTTTTTCGCAGGATCGGACCGATGCCGGATCCCCCCTCGCCGTCACATAGGCGGTACAACTTGCGACGTCGGTTACGGCTGAGAGAGAGTTATAGAGCGATAAACAAGATTCCTATTATTTTTTATTTTTTTTGTCTTTCGAATTTCGAGCGTTGTACCTCTTACATTATACCAAGGATGTGATCGCCTTTCTGAGGGCGGGAAATATTGCGCAATTATATTCCCACCCCAGATCCTTTATTTCTTATGCATTATAGAAGGAGTGGTTACACATGAAAGTAACCAATAGCAATGCCTCGTTTTGGTCCACGAAGATGGATCATGGTCAACACCACCACCGATCCCACTCATCTGGACGCCAAGGTCCTAGGACACGTGGTGGTCCCAGTCACCGAGGGCGGCAACCGGTCAGACCCACCCTACGGAACCGCCGCCAGTGGGCAAGCCGAGCCAGAGGCACCGTACAATGCCTCTGCCAACGATGCCGGGAACGACCACCAAGGACGGCCGCGACCGGGAGCGCGCCCTTGCGCTCATACAGCGCCGCCGTCCACGTCTTCTGCGACAACCCCCTCCCAATGACGACCACGACAACGCTGTCATCGACATGCCAGACGCTTAAGGGAGAGGGAGGGAGTGTGAGAGCGAGAGTCTACTACCACGCCCAGAGGCCGCTGCCGACCGCCCAAGGTGGACAACCTCCGAGGCGCAAAACAGCGCACGCAGAATAGGCGTGAGAGCCTTTAAAAGATGGGACACGCCCACAGAAGGGAGGAGACAGACCAAGGTCACTGAGGCGTGTAGATCGAACGCCACGGTTATGTTATACTTCAATATTAACAAACTTTTGCTGTCACATTAATAAATGTAGATTCTTGTTTTGGAAACCCCGGCTTCGTGTTGTTCCTCCCGGATGGGCATGCAGCGAGTCAACCCTACCACAGCACGTATTCAATGGTTTGAAAGTTTTTTTTGTTTTTTTTTTGCTGAAGGAAAGAAAATTATAATTTCATAGTCAGCGCGGTGTGCGCACTCTTTCGTGGCTACGTAACGTGGCTTTGGTATTTTAATTGGTTATGTTCATTGTTCACGAAGCTTAGCTTAGATCAGAATAATTTAAGCTTCAGCCTAAAAGGCGAGCAATTTCGGTAATTCTAACTTCATTCTCGACAGGTTCGTCATCGCTGAACACCAGATACCTCAGAGATAACATTCGATGGGTTAGTTTGCGGCAAGGCAAACGTTCATTTACCTGCTAACACCGAGATGTTCTTTCTGCTTTTCTCCTCTACAATATGTGTTTATTGTAATATAAATCATATTTGTTAGTTCTAAAGCAGGGGTCATGCTTAGTCCCATGAAAACAGGTGGTGTTGTTTTCACCACAGGCGTAACGACAAAACGCCCAAAGCGCGCAGACGTGAAGGCATCTAAAGTATCACTAGAATAAAATTATTATTCATTTGTATGAAACTAAAGTCCTAAATTGGTCAATAAAACCAAGGTATACGCTTTCTTCAATATACCGATCTCACCAGCCAGTTTCGTTACATCGAAGCTGCCGCAATGCATTGAGGAAACTTGTCTTTCTGCATGTGCGACGACCTCACTCCAGCTCTGCGGACATGCAGAGCATGAGGCGGGGCGAGCCGTCTCGTGCCCTGCTGCCTGCCTGCTGAGAATTCTAGTTATCATGGCGTCACGCACGCGCCTAACACTTGATGACATGGTTCTTTTCCTACAAATTGTCACACAAAGTCGTCCACTGCTTAAACAACTTTGGACGTGCCTGGATCCCTAGTGGAATACTGTGCGCGTTCATATGAATGGCGAGTGAAATCTTTAGGCCAGGTCGGACCTTCGAAATTTAGGCCAGGTCGGACCTTCAAAACCTACTGTTTCCTTTAACGTAGGGCTATGTTCTCTAACAACATCTTATTGCCTGGCGTTGTTCGAAAGCTATACATTCTCGTTAAGCAAATACCTAAAAGTAATTGCGCTTCAAAATTATCGGTCGTAATATTAAATTTAGATTAAATAGAAGAACCTAAAATGTTTTATGCGAGAGCAAATGGCTGATCTTATTAAAACGCGAAATAAAAAAAAAATGGCTGCACTTGAGTAGGGAAGTTTTGTCGTTTCCTCCTAACATCCTTTAGTTAGGACGCGAGTATAGACCTCTGCAAAGAATGTCCGAGAGATATGTGAAACGACCAAGTAAATCACATTAAGGGCGAATGGGAGACTAACCAGGGGAAGAATGACCTTGAAAACGTTGCGATTGCCGACAAATCGGGCTGGTGAAGTATTTTTAACTTTCTTTTTAATGTTTCAAGAGAGGTCTGTTTGCCAAAAAGTTAAATTATTCAGTTGGAATCAGAACCCTTCAATGGTATTCTCATGGTATATTCCGTTGGTCGCTTTTGAATGTTTGAGAGTGCTTTGAAACGCCGATATATGCATTCGGCTGCTGGAAGTCGGGCGCTCTAGTTATATTCGGTTAGTCCTTTTGGAGCGCTCCTATATTTTCGGAACGCACAGTCCTCTGACTCCAAGCGCTGTGAGGCGCTCTGACGTCGAAGTGGGAGCGGTTAGAGCGCGTGCCAAAGGAACGGTCACGTGACTCCAACCATTTCCGCTCTTGGGCTGAAAGGGGCAGAAGCCGATGCGACCAAGGGGCTTAGAGCCGGATATGCCACTGCGTTTGCAGGCTGCACCGATCCCGCTGTGCTGATGAGTGAGTACAGAAGTTGCTCAATGCTTGAGGACATGCATGCGGGCATACGGACACGAGGCGATGACTCTGCGGGCGTGGCGTGCATGTGTGCTGAATGGACAGAGGAATGGTTTTGGCTAATATTCTGATTAAGCCTATCGGGAATTTTCGACTGGGTCATTAGTGGTACTAATTCGCTTGATCAGGAATGTAGGCAAAGCATAGGTCAAAGCTAACAGCTCACTCCTTGAAACGCTCTTCAAAGTGCTCCAATAATTGTACATCAAAACAGCGTGCCACAAGAGGGCCTGCTATCCACACCATACATAAGACAAAGCGTCCACATGAAGGCAATCTGGTGTATGTATATGTGGATGCATTGCGCCCCCTTTAAGCCTTTTCGCGGCTGTTTATACTAAGCTCAAAGTTTGGTTCCTTACCGCTATACTAAACCATTAACCTGGGCCGGTAAGCTCATACCTGCGGGTAATAATGTTGCCCGGTAAAACAGCCGCAAGAAATATTTTCTGGTTAGATAACCGGCGACGTGGGGACAAGCAAGTATGTGGAGCAATTAGCGTTATAAGCAAATGGTTGCCGTGAGTCTGCCTATACTTCGTATATTGATGTACGATTTCACAAACGGAAAATAGATCAAGGCTTTAAATGTAAGTAAATTGAACCGCATTGGTGCGCAGTCGGCATTAGAGTTAGTTGGCTCGACGGAACGACGGCCAGAGCTTGAAGCATTTCGTAGGGGGAGCCCTTGTCGCGATAAGCCGTTGAGAGCGTGGTTAGCACGGGATGCTGCTATTTTATGCAGAGGAAATTGATAGTAATGATAAGCCGTGTAGATAAGTGCTCAACAAAGCAACAACAACTAATCATAAAAAAAACAGACACTATAATGGCGCGATGATGAATCAAAGCTCACAGCCGGCAACGCAAGGAGAGGCGTCAAGTGCACCCTATGGATGCGCGAATTATCATTTCTATAAAAATCCCTCATGCAGGAAATCTCTGCAGTTCGTTCCAGCCTTGCTTTGTGGTAGGGTTGCCTTGCTGCATGCCCATCCGGGAGGAACAAAACAAAGCCGGGGTTTCCAAATCGAGAAACTTCATTTATTAAAGTAACAGGACTGGATTGTTAGTATCAACGTAAAACATTGCCGGAGCGTTCGAACTGCACGCCTTCGTTTCCCCGGTCCGTCTTCCTTCTTTCTGTGTGCGTGTGCCCTCTTTTATAGGCTTCTGCGCCTGTCCTATACGTGCGCTATTGCGCGCCTCGGCCGTTGTCCAGTTTGGGCATTTGGCAGCGGCCTCTTGCCGTGGTGGGAGACTCTTTCTCCCACAGCTTTCAGCGGCTTATCGCGACAGCGGCGCCACATGCGGGCTCTTTTTCCCTCCACCCTGCATTACGACGAGCCAGCTCATTTTGATCCCGAATTTCCTGTAGAAGCGGTATGTAAATGGTTTTTTTAGAAAGACCGCATTTTACGATAATTACAGAAAGCGACAGGGGGCATTTTACGAATTTTTTTACGAAAGCGGCCGACCCGCTAGTTAGTTTAACCCAGCACATCCGTCCACGTGACCTAAAATCTTTCTTGCGTTTATCTCACCACCGATTAAGACACCCAGGGCAATCAGTAAACCGGCCCTGGTGAATCTCCTCTCGGAGAGGCCCTATAAAGAATGCACAGGAAAGCACCGGACCTCGAGCAAGGTCTGCACGACGTTGCGCGGCAACCAGGGAATACTCTGCATGATGGACAACGCGGGGTGACCCACGCTGATGTTGGTCGGCATGCCGTCCACGGCGTGGATCCTCCAGGTCATGTCCTGCGGTCAGGTTGGGGAAATCTGAGCATATTTTTATAGTCCATGAGGTGTCGTCAATATACTTTAGACAATTCCTGCCGTTTTCTTTATTCATTTTTCTTTACTTTAATTTCTAGACAAGCGTTTATTGCAATAACGGTCTGCGGTCAAGGAGGTACATTTTTTACATTAAAAATTTTTCTGCATTTAATTGCTACAAAAGATTAATCACAGTTTCTAATTAAACAGTCCCCAAAAAGCAACAACAACAAAGTATTTGGTTTCAAACAGCGGGTAGAAATGTATTCGTATTATTTGCAAGCGTGAACATTTTATCATCTTACATGTTGTCCGGATGACAAAGAAGCACAAGTAATCAACAACATACGTTCAGACTTCTTGGAAGGAGGAAAGGGCCTCAATTTCACTTATGAGACACCAGCGAATGCGGTCCTGCAATTTTTAGACCTCAGGCTGACGTTCATTCAAGACCATACATGCTGGTCGTACCCCCACGAACCCAGAAAGGACTTTTACACTTTGACTCGGCCCATTCCAAGCTTATAAAACGAGGTATTGTTACCAGTTGCTTGAGTTCAGCACTAAAGAAATCATGTGCACATTCAGCAAGTGATAGTTTTAATGCCCAAGTGCAAAGACTCAAGTCTTCTGGGTACCCGAGTTCCCTGTTGTATGAAGTCACTGAGTGTTTGATTACTTCACGCGGTAAACGAGATAAAGAAAGGGACAGAAGACACCCACCAACAGTCCTGCCATACATTCATCGTATTTCGCATAACTTAAAGAAGGTGGCCTCCAAGTTCTATGCTGAAGTCGTGCTATCTGCACCGGATAAGTTGAAGAAGCTCTGTCCGAAGATCAACAACACGCAGATACCACATGCACAGTGTGGAGTAAACTATCGGCACAAATACGTGGACCGCAGCTGTTGTGTAATCTATGAGATACCGTTAACATGCGGAAAAGTGTATGTGGGCCAGACAGGGCGATCTGTTAAAGACCGTCTTAGAGAACATGCTCTTGCACTAAAGTCGTCACCAGCAGGACACCTCGCCGTGCATGTACGAGACTGTCACTGCTCGCCTTTGTTGAACAATACCAAAATGCTGAGGCGTTACGGCGAAAAACGAGCTGGAGAACTTTTCGAGGCGCAAATCATCATCACGCGCGGGAACACCTGCATCAGCGCCCCTTCGGTGACCCTTTCACCAAAAGAACTACACTATCTTGAACTCCACCAGTAACGATCCATACGCCGCAAGAAGTGTGTAGTGTACATTAAGATAGAATTTTAACTTGTGTTTCACATTAGGTCCGACGAAGTGTTCAACATCTGAACGTTCTGGTTTATTTTCTGAGATTTTTTCTTATTTCTTCTTCCTTTAGTACAGCAACCCAAGGTAGTCACGATTTTGGCGTTTTTCTTCTTCTTTTATAACGACAACCTAGGGCGCGGTCGTATTTTCGTTGGGTTTTCCTCTTCCTTTTATTGTTAAAATGCTTCATTTCCTTCTTGTCTTTTTTCTATTAAAACGTCAGTTGTGAGTAGCGCTCTGTCCTGTCTTACCTTTCTCTTTTCTTGTCGTTTGCGCTAATTTTATCTGATCGTGAACATTTTAGACCATGTATTGTGTTGCGATAAAATGTCAGCAGCGCATTTTATATTCGCTAACAGTTTGGTGCACGCGCAGACAAAAATGCCTAAATGCAACGAGCGCATGGGGGAGACGATGCATCTATTCTTTATGTTACATACCATTAGCTATTTCTTGCGTGAATTGAAACGTGGTGGCGCTACTGTGAAAATAGGCCCCAAACACTTCTGGTTATGAACTAGGCGCCGGGTTTTGCAGCATTTGCGAAGACCTCAGAAGCTCCCACGCTACTTTGGGAAGTGTAAGATTATAAATTTTCCGTAGATGATCTTTGCTGTCCTGCAGTGCTTTCCGTACCCCAATAATAAATTCAAAGCATGGCAGGCCAGGCTTACTGCGTGCATATCCATTCCGCAGTATTGCCATCTTATTTGCGTAGGATGTAGGGGAAGGAAAATGACGGTATTCTTCATATTTGCCATATATTTTGTGACTTGCTGCACGCGGAGTACTCAAGGACTTTAACACAAGTAAGCCCCCAGTTTATGTTTAGATAGCATTTAAAATTCAACACCGCATATAACATTTTAAAAGATTTTGATATCGGATGTCTGTTGGCGCCTTGACCTTTCCTGTGGTTACCTGGACTCCCAGGAGATCGAAAATATTTTCCAATGTCAGTAGTATTTGAACACTTCGTTTTATTTGTATTTATTTGCGTTTTCTGCGTTCTGTACGGAGCCCGACAACTAGCGAAAACTCGGACCTTGAGTTTTTTTTTTTGTTTTTTTTTCCCTAGCTGTCATGATGAGGGCTAGCGAGGAACGAGATGCAAGGCTGAGCAAAGGTGCCTTTAGCACTAACGCATCTGATTATAGTGAAAGAATTCGTCAGTGTAGAACTAGCGCTACCTTTTTCGAGGACTGTGCTGACACAGTCTGACTGCATGCGCTCGCAAGGAAAATATAAAGAAATGGCCCGTAGCGAAATTCCACCCGATAGCTGTCAATCTCGCGCTCCAGAAAACGGTCTTTCATGTGCTCCCGGTGAAAGAGAAAAATAAGCGATGGGAACAAAATAGTTAGATGGCGTCACCGCAAGCAAAGCGCAAATGAAGGCACCCCACCCTCGAGTTACTTCGTGTGAACTTTGCTTAGGGTGGCAACATTGAAGCATTTTTGTTGCAAACGTTTTTTTACAGCGCAGATGTTAAGGGCTAACTTTTCCAAGATCGTGTCCATTTTCAAATTACCTGACGACCCAGAACTCTAGACAGCTACCGCCATCTATGAGCGACGGCGGCAACCTTTCGAGCGTTTCTACTCTGGTTTGACGACTTGCGGTGACCCATTACTTCATTCCCACCATAGTATAGCTTCGTTGGTCTTCCTTCTTGACGAGAGTGGAAAGGCTGAAGGTTTTTTTTTTCTTCTTTTTTTTTCTTGAACGCGGTAAAGAGAGTCACCCAGTGTGAGCTCTAGGGATTGGCAGTGCTATGGCGGATATTTGTTACCGGCTTATATTTTTCCCCCTCTGAACACGTGCCGTCAGAATCTGATGCAACAAAGAATGGCGTCACACTGTTCTATCAGCGCATAACGCAAGGCCGTTTAAATACCCCAGGTCTCGGTAAGACGTCAGGTTCTGCGACACCGGAAGAGGAGCTGAATCTTAGGTTACGTTCACATGAATACGATCGAAGCGAGAAGTGACAAATCGCACACAGCCTGCCTTCCTACTTCGGAATCTTCTACACGCCTGCTACCGATCAAGATAATCAAATTTTTATTCGATGCAATACCGTTGCATCCATGTAAATGGAGCTTCGACTCCCTTGCGCACCGACGCTGCCATTGTCGTCTGCTTTATGTCTGCTCAGTCTGCTCGCGAGATGGTGCACCTACGTTAAGTTTAGGCTACATCTGCTCTGAGCCTGTGGTCTGCTTCGTCTACCCACTGTCACGGCTGGCTTTCAATGCGATCGGAGCAGCAAGTGAAGTCTAGATGGGCATGCGAATTCTGATCTAAACGGAATGTAACTAACGCGTACTAGAAGCATGACTTCTGTGGCTTTCTCAGCCTGGGGCCACTCTCGGCATTCGTGCCTACGTCGCTTGATGTGCGCGCACTCTAAGCAGCGCTAAGATGCCTTGCTCTAGACGATGCTGCTGGCGCTGTTTCTTAAACGTCCGTCACACACTGACCTCCTTCTGGCCCGGTAAGTATCTGGCTCCAAATCTCCTCTGTTCGACATTGATTCAACGAACTTCGCCATGCTAATTTGGAGCACACGACCTCGTTTTGTCATGAAAAGGAAGTGACAACACGGTAGTCTTTTGCCTCAACTGAAGTTGCGTCAGTATACCGATCCACAATCTCTGGTGCTATATTGTAAATAATGATCACCAGCTCGACCGCACACTCACTGTTATTTAGGTCAGTAAATGGGCCTCGTGTAATTGTTCGGCAGACCACCGCGTTTCCAGGGCGTTCCCGTAATAACACGGTTGTTTGCCCCGTATTTATATGGAGAAGCCCATAAGTTGAGTTTCCTATATAACAGTGCAGGATTCCTCGTGAAAATTATCCACAGCGTAAGGCCTGAGACTGTGGTGCCGATGAAATTGAAAACTTTCAAGTTGGAACAATAAAAAGCCAGCAGTATGAGAACGCCGGGAGATTCGGGGGACAATATGTGGTCACGCCTACTTCTGTTATACAACGCTCCATATACGAAGAATACGAATGCCACCTCCGGCCCATTATATACTCCTTGACACAAAAGGGAGGCTGCTATGATAACTTTAAACAAAGTTTCAGTGAATACACAATACTATCACCACAATCTCAAGATGCGCATACGTCGAACCTCGAGCAACATGGTGAATTGCTTGTCGTCCAGGAGCCCTCCGTCGTGCAGTTCGTGCAGGGCGTCGAGCGCCTTGTTGAGGCACCTGCGGGCACACTGCCGTGTCTTGGTGGCCACCTCGATGTTGGGGTACTTCTGCTGGATATCCATCACGTTCTTCAGCGTCTGCACAGCGCACACATAAACCCCTTTTGAAACCCCATCGAGACACAATGGCGGTCGTTATTTCTTTGACGCGAAACTCGTAAGTGAATCAGACTCTTCGCCGACCGCTGTCGCAGCTCTCGTCCTTGGCATGAGCTGGGCCTAGTTCACGCCGAGCACTGAGGCCGCCGTTGTGTCCAGTAGAAGCTCAGAGAACTGGCGTAAAATGCGCACCAGCTAGTAGATACCAACCACATTTGGAAAAGCTCTAGTAAGACGAGGGAATTGACCAATCTCACTTATTGTTCGGCGCACGCGTCATGCCGACAGAGTTAGTTGAATAGAGGCAGGCGGCTTCAGCGTTTTTAGATTTATCAGTTGGCAAGCTCCACTGAAGAGGAGCGTTCAAAATCGGTCTGTTTACCTGCACGCGAGCAGGTACGAGCGGATAGCGTTCCTAGCGCCACCAGCGTCAACGCCTCCTCGGGCAAAAATGAAGGAGCGTTTAAGAACTACACTATTTTTGCGTCTGTTAGAGTCTAGCGCCGACAATAGACCTTACTCAGAGAAATATATAGGGGAACGTTCGGCCTTCTGGCCTTGCCTCGTTTACAGCTTGTCAACTACGCCACTGACACTCCACGCGAGCACCATGGCCACGCCCATTTCGCGATCTTCATGCCCAAGCGACGCGGGAGACCTATGCCCGTACGCTCCTGGCTTTTATAACTGCCTTCAGAGAGCGAGTGCTCGCTCTCCGGAAGAACGCTTCAAAGCAGCGACCTCGAGATGTCGTGCTTCTGGCGTTGACTACAGTCTTAGCCTAAGGGTGGACGGTGCATACCGCCAACGGAGGCGACGCTTTCACGAGCAACGGGAACATAATAGTTTTCGAACGGCGATTTGTTTTTTCTAACGTTTGCGCAAATTTTATGTTTAGCATAGAAACAAGAATTTAATCATTTTCCACCGCAGGCATGGTGCATTCTACGTTCCAGCGAATCCGCCGTTTCCGTCCATAGGCATGTTTTCTAAATCAGGTGGCGCGGGCGCGTCCGTAAGGCACGAACGTGTAATGCTTGCTTCGAGCGTAAAACGGCACTGCAGAGTTGAATCATACACGAGCATAGTCTCCTCTATACTCACAAAACCTAGCAATTCGCCGACGGAGCCATAAAGTGCCCGGTCGCAGATTTAGAGAGCGAGAATCTGGTAGCACAGAGCATCGAAGAGCCATTTTTTGGGAACCTAGACTTTAGCGCACAGCTTTTGCAGCGGCGAGGACCTGAAACACACACTTGTTCGCTCGGGAGAAGTATGTTTCGGCGTCTCACCGCAGCGGTGCGCCAGTCACGTGGTTCTCCTCTCATCCGTTGCCTGCCACTTCAACTTGTCCATTTCGGCAGCCGGTTATCGTGGCGATCTCCCAGGCTTCGTCGGTATATAGACGGTATATAGAAGGCCGCGATCTTTTACAAGCATCTGTCAGCAACTGTCTATGCGCGGTAACAGAGCTGAGTAAGGGGTATTGTTTGGAGCGGCAGGTCTCGGCGATCGGTGCTCGTGCGGCACTGTGTGTAGAAGATTTAAGCGGTGCAGTCGTCATGATAATAGAAAGTCCGGCACTTGCGCGTGCGCGCGGCGAACGCGCACTACTAGTACCCTAGTGATGCTAGTAGCAATTCGGCGGTGTCAACACCAGACCCGATGTATACCGCGCGGCTCACGCGGACAGCTTGGGTCCCATCACTACCCCCTTATCCTAGCATACATCGTAGCCAAGCGTCTAAAAGGGCTAAAAAGAAATTTAAATGAACAAAATAGTACGTCAGCTGGCGTATTCAGTGTACTACAGAAATAATAAGATTGATTTTGTAGCGTATTTGTGCTTGTTGTCATCATTCTAAATTTATATCTACACTAAAGAAAAGATTTGTTTTTATTAATTTTATTTACAATTACCCTCAAGGCCCCAAGGGGCATTATAGAGGGGAGTGGTTGGTTAGTACAGTTCTAAATTTCTCATTATCGTTGATGGTGACGATGTCATCGGGAAGGCCATTCCAGTCCACAATAGCTTCTGGTATGAGCGAATGTTGATGGGCTGCTGAAGTGGTCTTGGGACGGGCGATCTTGCATGAATAATCCACTCTTGCAGAATTATAGCTCGGCGGGCTGAGGAGAGCCTGTCGTAATGGTTCAGAATAGTAAATTTTATTGAGAAGGCAAAGATGGGAAATTCTGCGACGAACGGAAAGGTCAGGAAGAGTTTATTGAGATTTCATTGCAGTGACACTAGAAAAGCGAGAGTAATAAGAAAGAATAAATCAAGCAGCACGATTTTCAGCAGATTCGATTGCGTTGGTTAGAAAGGCCTGATGGGGGTGCCAGATAGCTGAAGCATACTCTAGTTTAAAGCGAACAAGCGTGACGTAAAGGAGACGTTTGAGGTTAGAAGGAGCAGACTTGAAATTGCGACGGATATAGCCAAGTGAGCGGTTTGAAGAGGATATTGTCTTGTCTACATGAACATTCCAGGACATATTAGTGTTTAGATGGACGCCAAGATACTTGTACTGTGGAGCGGTCTGAAGGGTAATGCCGTTGAGTGTTAAAGAGTTTAAGGGCTGGGAGGAGGAACGTGTGAAGCAGAGGTGCATGCATTTGTTAATATTGAGAGACATTTATATATTTGATATTCAGCAATTTTGTAAATGTCGTTCTGGAGTGCAATATGGTCGTCTGGGTCTTTTATTAGTCTATAAACAACACAGTCATGAGCGAAAGGACTAACAGAGGACGAGAGGTGAAGAGGGAGATCATTAATGTAGAGTAAAAAGAGTAAGGGCCCAAGCACGGTTCCCTGTGGAACACCGGAAGAAACGGGAGAGAAAGCGGAGGGCGTGCTGTTAGCGAAAACGAATTGAGAGCGATGAGTAAGGAATGATTCAACCCATTGAAGAACAGGAGGGTCCAGTTTTAGCGAACTAAGTTTAAAGAGAAGGCGATTGTGTGAAACTTCATCAAAAGCGTTGGCGAAATCAAGAAAAACAGCATTAGGTTGATAACCAGTGTCAAGATTTTTAAACAGGTCGTTAGTGAGAACAAGTAGGTGGGTCTCACAATACAGGTGTTTCCAGAAGCCATGCTGCGCGTTAGTGAAGAAGTTGCAGGAATCCAGGAAGTCAATCAGGTGCTTGTAGATGACGTGCTCGAGGATCTTGCAGGAGATGCAGGTGAGTGATATTGGCCGATAATTTAGTGGAGATGTTTTACTGCCGGACTTGTGGACCGGAATGACCTTACCAATTTTCCAGTCAGAAGGTAACACACGTGTATCCAGGGACTGCTGAAATATCTTTGTGAAGTAAAGGCCGGAGGCAAATTTAGTGTTACTTGGAACCTTCGCATTAATACCGTCTATGCCATATGATGAAGACATTCTGAGGGATTCTATCATGCTGATTACACTTTGAAAGTCTATAATAATAAGATACATTGGAAAATATTTTTTGTAGCAGGAGGAATCTCAGTAATGGGTGTAAAAACAGTGGAAGCACCAGAATATACCCTGTTTAGAATATTTGCACATTCACTATTCAATATATTATCACCAGAGCTAATCACTGGGTTGATTCCTGAGTGTGGTTTTTCTTTAACAAAGCTCCACAATTTTTTAGGGTTGTTTAGTAACACATTAGGTAGAGTGTGCTGAAAGAATGTGCGCTTACCGCCGAATTCAGAAACCTCACTCAAACTACACTCAAACTGAAGGGCCCCTCCATTTCCTCGAAGAAGGCGATCGCGAGGACGGATCCGTCCTCGCGATTGGCCAGCGCCGGCCCTCGCGCCTTCTTCGAGGAAATGGAGGGGCCCTTCAGTTTGAGTGTAGTTTGAGTGAGGTTTCTGAATTCGGCGGTTACACTCTCTCAACATACTTTTATATTCAGAAGAGCAAGTGGCATGCTTAGACCAAGCTTCTGGTGTATTTGCTTTTTTTAGCGTTCCGGAAAAATCTTTTCTGTTTGTTAGATACACGACGAAGGGAATCATTCTACCATGGCTTAGACGCGGTAGTTCGAATTGTTGCTCACGGTATGTATTTTTCAATAAGTTCACACAATTTGGTTTTAGAAGCTTGCCAATTTTCATCAGCGTTATGGCAGTCGAAGGTTTCATTAAAAAAAAATAGTCGTAGAGCTCAGAGTTCCTCATGTCATAGTTTCCCTTGTGGTACAAACGTATCTTTTTAGACAACGAATGAGAAGAGAGCCACATGACTGGCGCCCCGCTTCCGCGAGACGACGAAACACACTTCTTCCGAGCGAAGAAGTATGTGCCTGGTACTGGCCGTTGAAAAAGTTGTGATCTGACGCCCGGTCCCGCGCGGAGTAGCTCTTTGATAATCGTCAGTCGAGCTCCAAATCTGCGACCGGGCAATCTAAGGCTCTGTCGTCAAACTGCCAGGCTTTGTTAGTATAAAGAAGGCCATGGTAGATATTTTTGCATTGCTTATCACCCGGGTGAAAAATGCTGAGTCACTGAGCTTTGGGCGCATGAGCAGCGTCGGATATAGCGCGCATATAAGTCGATCTCTGCATAGGTATAGTGCCGGTGGTAGAAAACAAAGGTGACGAGCGTCATGACGAGGCACCTTTGGGGCGGCCTCATTGGCTGCACTTAACCGTAGTGTTGGCTGCAGTCAGACTTCGTGTGAAACGGAGTATAGCAACACAGTCTTGCGTCGAGGCCTATTTGATACCATAGTTATATTAGAGCGAAGCTGTTTATTGCTAGGGTTTCGAGTGCTTTTGGTGTGCCTCAACAAAAACTTAGGCGATGTCTACGCTCGCACCACCCTCTCTTTTCTGTCGTTCCAACCGCTTGCGTGCCTAGTTACCTTTCCTTCTCCGGGGTGGCGGTTCCGTCGCACGTGTCTACCTTCCGCCGGGTGGTGGTCTCGTCGCGCGTGTCTAGTTTCCTCAGGCTCCTCGGAGTGGCGACAGTCCTCGAAATGTGTGTGCCTACCTTTCGTCAGGGTGACCACCGATCAAGACAACAAATCTGTTCGTTCAGTTGTTCAAAATTCTCTGTCACGTCTGTGTTGTGTGCTAAACAGCTTCGCTGGTCATTCACCTTCACTGAGTAGAATGGCTCGCGATTTTCATTTGCTAGTAGATAATACCCTTTCCCATTTGTCTAGAGGGCGAAATACACTAAATATTAAGAATAAATCTTCCCCCCCCCCCCCCCCCCCCGTTACGTAAAGCCCTCTATTGGTATTTGAAGATTGAAATAAATAAAATACGCAGCAACTGGCATTGAACATTATGAACCGGATAGACACGAACCTTTTCTTGCGTGTGGCACTAATAAGTTGCGCGGCGAAACGAAAACAAGTTAAAGCAAGGGTGCAGGTGAGCTGGTTGAATATAGACGTTTTAACCCTTGAAGGTATGCGTATTAGAAAAAGTTACCAAGTTTTTTTAAACGTAAAACCCTCAAGAATAGACAAAATTTCCTCTAAGAATGACAGGTCAGCCTTTATAAACCAATCTGTGGAACGGTTAGATACCATTGTTGGCAGTTGGTTTAGGACTAGTAATCGTCATTTTAGAGCTGTGCGTGATATGAGAAAGGAATTATGTGACTCGGAGTTGGTTTGGAAATATGTGCTGTGTTTGTCCTCCTGTCCCCACTCTCTAGGATTCAAATGTCTACAAAAACAATATTTACCCGAGTGGGATAACGCTTACAATGAATTAAAGTAACATAAGATCGAAGTGTATTTGCATCTTGTCTCAATGAACGCGTGGAGTTTTAGTGCGTCGGAAACATTACGCGTTTCTTCGATTTAATAACTGCGTCGGCTAGCATTACCTATGAATACAGACTCATTTGGCTAACAAACACCGAACATTGAGTGCTAACCCATCTAGCACTGCCACCAGGTCAAGCGAATATTACCCCGCAGTGCCGCTTGCTCAGAAACGTGTTCCTTCCTGGTCACTTGCTGACGCTCACAGGTTAGAAAACCAGGCCTTCGCCCTGGTTGCTGCTTAAACCTATCTCCAAAGGAACAATATTTCGGCAGACACGGTGGTTCGTTGACGTCCCGTCGTATAACGTATTGCCACGTTACGTCCCAGTGTTAGGTGATACCACGTTGCGGGTCGCAGTGTCGCTGACGCTACGTCGTCACGAAACACCGTGACTTCCCGTTGACACGTCGTGCCGTCAAGTGACATCGCGACACGAGAGGTCACCTGCGCCTCAATATGACACCGTAACGTCACGTCTCCTGATGCCGAGGGTAGTGGCCAGTGCACAGTGTCATGCGGTTAATTTTTCTTCCTACTGTCACTGCTTATTGTGTGTTTGCTTCTGGTGGCACGGGTTGCTAAAGCGAGCTTAGCTCTAGCCTTCTCCCGTTACGTAGCGTTTGTACTATGATTTTTACGGCCTTCGGTGGAAGTTTGCTGTCACCTGGAGCTTGTTCTTGCTGCAGCTTCCCTTGATCTTGGTTGCGAGGTTAGAGGACTGCACGAAGCGGACCACCTTGTCTATGGCCTCATCCTCGGCCGTGATGTAGGCACAGCTCAAGTCGTACGCGTAGAACAGCTTGTGGTTTAGCACGCTGTCCAGCAGGTCCCAGAGCCAGACGAACAGGACCTGAGTCGGTTCCCGCCCGTCCCCACTATGTATATGTAGTCCACCGAACGCAATCTCGCAATAAAATTCCCTGGAACAAACTTTGCGCCTAATATAGCGTACTGAAATTTCTATGAAAGACGTGCATTAATAAGTTGGGCTAGTAGGTGTATCATTGCAAAAGGGTAAACAAATAAACATCGCGAAAAACGACTCGGACAGGGAAGGTCTAGACAGACAGAGCGCAGACTTTTAACTGTTGAAAGTCAGCGCATCGTTTCTGTGCACCTCTGTCCGCGTTGTTTTTCTTGATGAAAGGCGTATATTAAGAAAACATTTTACGACGTACAACTTCAAGGCGCAGCTTTCTTTTTGTAAAAAATTGTGATCCGCCACGGACAATGGGAGACGATGACGCAGAGAGCCGTGATAGAGAGAGTAGTTTGCCTAAATTTAAAACTGATTGTAACTGCTCTATCTTGTCACGTGGTGCGTAAATGTAACAGCTTGATAAGGGTCATGTGATATATAAAACACGTGTGCAATTCACAGTGAGAAGTGGGTTCTAAAGCACCAAGGGTCTGAAACTGCTCCAAAAGTCTTCGCCTGCATTCCTGCCTCCCTCTCTACCTGCTATCGCCGTGTAACCGAGCTTTCGGTTGCACGTCCAAAGATCCCCAGGTGGTCTAAATTAATCCTCAGTCGCCCGCTGGGGAGTGCCGGATGCCCGTCATTGTTTTGGCATGTAAAACTCCTAAGTTTGACATTCACCTGCTATCCTGCTCGCCACGCGAGAACTCACGCGTGCACCTGAAACGAATTCCCGCAGGATGTGCTCACCATTAAACGGTAAGCACTCTCATGGTTTGAGTTCTTTTATTCCTGAAACATGGGCTCTCCGAGCAAAGGAAATGCTTGTGGCGCTATCCCACGGTAGGAGGATCGAGCAAGCGACTACGTCGTCGGCTATCAACTAAATGCACCTTCTTCACGTACAAGTGTCGGGAGAGGGCACCATAAGCGCAATCCTCTGGAACTAGGACATTTGTGCCGTTTTCCGCCATTGTGCATATCAAGAATAGGTCTAATGTTTCGAAGTAAAATATCTAAGTCTTAAAATTGGCAAGGACAACTGATTCACGAAAAACACATGTTCCTGAAATATTCAGATCCCTTCGTGTAGGCGTAAATTGTTGCCCGGCGATTTAGAGCGAGCCTAAGCATTGAAGTCTCACTACATTAGCTAAACAATAAATCAGTCCTGGAAGAGAAACACCTGTGTTCGATGCAAAGGAGGACTAAGTGATCTCTGACTTTCACCCGAGAAAGACCCGACTGCTTTTTACGCTTCAATACGGAAATATATAAAAAAAAATAACTACACGCTTGAGCCCCACATGTGCCCACTACGATAAAATGATACCCTTGCAAGAACAGCGTTGCTTTTTTCCTTCCAGAGTGAGCATTTCATCAACTCTGGCGGACGAAAACGGGTAAAATACTTGCTTTAATTTTGAACATGGCAAACTGTACCAGAACTAGTTCCTTTTCTTATTAGTAGATGTCTGGCATAGAAAGCTGCAAACAGCACCTCTTCACTACCGGGTGTTGTAATTTTCTCGTTTACGTTTCTTTTAAAAAAGTCGTAAACAACTATACTAATCTGCTTTCTGAAGGTAAGTAATACGACCAGGGAGACACACTATAGGGAGCTAATCATCGCGATAAGTCAGATAGTTAACCAATTCTTTGTGAATTAACATTTTAGTTAGTGGAAACAAACATGTTTCCACAGCAGAAACTTGCTGAGTGTTATTAAAGACAGCTCAATCAGTACATTTTAGAAGAGCGGTGTTGAGCTAACGTTACCGCTCGTGCATCAGGCGCAAGGCTGGCTGTGCAAAAAAGCGGATGATAACACCACCCGCGTGCTTATCATTGGCGTTTCCACACCGCCAAAATTAAACCGGTTGCATAAGTGGTACCTTTAGCGCAAAACCACGTTTCCTACACGCTTCCCACCTCTTTAAACATTGTTGATTTCGTGGTTTTTAATGGGAAATTCTTCACTGTCTCATAGAGCGAGCCGACGTCATCAGTTTGAAGCGCGGAAAGGGCACCTAGCTTCCTGGATCCCACATGTCCCATTGGCTAAGGCGCGGCGACGATGTTGCCAATGGCTGGCGCGCGTCAGTTTCAATGACCGCCGCCAGATGGCGCTGCGTGTCCGTGCCGCCAGCGCGCCCATAAAACTAACTTCCGCTATCCCATGCCACAACGGGCCCCGCACCAATTAAAACGGGCACGTTGGCGCGCGCTCGGAGGCTTCTGCTTGTCTTGCCGCCGACCAACAAGCCGTCGCCTCCATCATCCACATCCTCAGCGGTGCTTCTACTCGTCTCGCCGCAGACAAACATGGCACCGCCTCTAGCATCCACATCGTCGGACATTCATATTTTTGCATTCACAACTCATAAGAAGTGCTTAGGTGTCTTCCGACTTTTGATTCCGCTCAGTCATTCCTGAATTTGTGCTGTGTGTTTATTTCCAGGAGTTAAAATGAATTACTAAAATTTAGGTATGTATTAGACTTATCGCGATTACTCTTCGTTTTGGCATGTATCCTGGCCGTATAAGTAAAGTTCTCAGACCGTATTCGTGTAGCTTTTACGAATTTTGTTTTTAAAGATGTCTGTGAAGCTTAAAAGGCATCTGAGTATTGAATCCAACTTTAGGGATTGCTTGTTCTCCCCAATTTTAAACAAAAACGATAAAGCGATGACCTACGTTTTGTTCGTTCTTGTTTATATATATTTTTAGCGACCCACCATCTGCTAGACGCCTCCTTAGTGGTTCACTTACATATAAATCCACGACGTAAGATTTCTACAACTGTATTTATTATAGTCAGAGCAGATGACCATAAATCTGTCAGAATAGCCTACCGCGAAACAAAACACAGTGTTCTACACCTTGATATTTTGCGTAGGGGAGGCGTATTTGTTTCCCAAAATCCTTTCACAAAAAATATGTCGTTGTTGCTGCAATATCGGACGCGCTAGCCAGCAATGAATGGTGCAGGAGGCTTTCGCTTTGCCTTACCTCACTTAAATCGCAAAGCATGAGCAATGACCATGTCGCATTTTTCAGATAGTATTTCGATTCTGGCCATTCCTAAGCCTAAATGAACGTGATAGCTGTCGGCATGGCAACGACTTTGGAAAGTGGATTGCTTGACTCAATCAGCACAGAAGTCTCGTTGAAATTTGCTTCCCAGTTTGAAAGAGGACGACGAAGTTCAGTCCTAGAAACGACAAGGAAGAAGTGAGCAGTGAAAGGCGGGCGGTATACACGAACTCAACTTTCCTACGTCACGCCGCGGTGGTGGCGCGTCGGGCGCTCTTCCGGTGTGGGGTGGTGGGCAGAAGTCGCGGTGCGAGACATGCATTCCTGCGTTCTTTTGGGAGAAACCAGACAAAAAACTTGCCTTCTCGTCAAAATGCTGTGACGGGGCTGTACCTAGAGAGTCTGGAAAGGTTTAAAGATCAGTTTTCATGTGTTTCTGCCCCCTCCGTTCGTCCGAGAACGTTGATAGTAGCCGTGACAAAAGCAAACCAGACGCTGTCGAACTACGAATGCTTGTGCGGTACACACTTTGTGCTCGCCAGATGTAGCTGTTGTGTTTCAATATGAACGAGAGAAAACCGCTAAGTTGTCTGGACCACCCGCGGGTTCAGTGCGTCTTCAAATTCACTCGGCCGCCTGATCGTTCGAACTTTCGTCTGCTCTTTCGAACTTGTCTGCTTATTGTCGTCTGCTGGTTCAAACAAAAGCGGCCCGTAGACTAAACTTTCACCCGGTTATTGCAACAAGAAGTAATTGCGGGCCTCAAAAGACATAAGTTGGCTCGGTGTAAACCGTAGATACAAGATGTTGATCACTGGTACCAGTGGCTATCCCCGACTTCTTACGCTTGATCTGTTTCCACTTCCGATTTTCAGTATCGACGTCGATCGTCGCCGCTACCTTCTACACTTTTGCAGTACGAGCGACGTTGCGGCGACCGAAAATGGCTAGAAGAATCTCATCATGGTTTTGGCGTCCATTCTGCGGCGTTCAAGCGAATGAATCGCCTCACGTCAAATTATTTACGCCAAGTTTAGCGGCGTAACGAACCTTGATAATTTCGCTCAGGCGATTGAAGTGGTAAGGCATTGCTATGAGGACGTAGAATCGACAATTCCAAGGCGAAAAAAAGTGTGCAGACTCACACAGACGCCGACAACGTGACATTCCAATGGTTTGCTGACGCGGGACGCTGTGCTTCTTGCCCGCACTCTATTGCGCATGCGTACGAACTGTCGTCTGCTCTTTCACACTTGTCTGCTTTTTGTCGTCAGCTCGTTCAAACGACAGCGGTCCGTAAACCAAAGGTTGACCCGGTAATTGCGATAGGAAGTAAGTGCAGGCCTCAAAGCACTTTTGAAGGTTGATTGGGGTAAGTAGGCTAAAGAGTAAACAGTAGATACAAGAAGATGTTGATAGTTGTTTCCAGTGGCCGTCATTGACTTGTAATGCCCGATTCTACTTGCGGTTTTCAGTATCGGCGTTTACCATCTGAGCTATGGTCACCGCTTTTGCAGCCCGAGCGACGTTGCGTCTGAAAATAGCGAGATGAATCTCATCGTGGGAGTCAGGCTTTAGCGCCCAATCTGCGGCGTCCACGTGAAATGAATCGCCGCAAGTCACATTATTCACGCAAAGTTTTGCGGTGTAACGAGCCTAGTTAATTTTGTTGAAGTAGTCAGACATCGCCAGGAAGACGTAGAATCAACAATTCCAACGCGAAAAAAAGCACGGCGACTCACACCGACGCCGACAACAACGCAATTCAATGGTTTGTTTATGGGCGACGGCGAGCTTCTTGCCCACCGTCCACTGCGCATGCGCGGCGCCAGTGGCGTCCGCTAGGGGCGCTCCGGTTTGTTTGTAAACATGAGTTGGTGTATACACCAGCAGCATCCTTGGCCAGCATCTAAGAACTGTATATAACACCATCATAAATTGGAAAACCTGTAATTCGGCTCGAGTGAAAATAGACCCATTAGTAAATTACCCAAGCATCGAGGGGAACACTGGAAGTGTAATTCTACGGTCCGCGCGCGCTGGCCTTCCTCTTCAAAGATTCGAAGTAAATATTCATAAGGCTTTGCCGAACGCGCGTGCAAGGCAAAATTTGTTTTAAACTTGTTGCTTTAGAACAATTACTACTGGAGACACCAGCACATACACCGCGTGTAACTACGCTCGTAGCATGCACCCCAGTGCTTGGAAAATTTAGAGAAAGGTCTATTGGGACGCTGTCTGCTTTTGTGTGCTATCAATACCAGGCCGATTGAGTCAAGTCAATGCAATCCACAATTATCGCGTTCATTTAGGCTTAGGAATGGCCAGAGTCAAAAGATTATCTAAAAAATGCGGCGAGGTCATTGCTCATGCTTTGCAATTTAAGTGAGGTAAGGCAAACCGAAAGCTTCCTGCACCATTCATTGCTGAGTAACGCGCCCGATATTGCAGCTACGACGACATTTTAGTTCCAAAGCGAGCGGCGCTCACTCACCGGGGCACCGCCATGTTTCCCCCGCATCCCTACCGAGCCAGTCACGTGATTTCAAGGTCCCCCTCCTAGGTGCTGCGGCTAACTTTAGTCGCGGTTAGCGCTTTCGAGCAAACGGCCCCAGGAGTTCACTTCTTTATCTCAATTTTCACTGGGTGCCATCACACATCAATGGCACTTCGAATGGTCACGGCTTTGGCGGTCGCCTGGCACCGTTCGGAGGGGGGAAGGGGGATCGACCGCACACGTCTGCACTCTAGCCCACTCTGCGTCCAGCCAATCACCAGTCGTGGAAGGTTATCACGCCAGCAACACTGACCACCCTCGGTATCCCATTCCGTCGCTTCAACCACCTCTACGCCGAACTCGTAGTATCGCAACATCGCTTGGAGCACGTCCTCTACTGTTGAGTTTAGGCTCCTATCACGCCCATGCGCGAAAAAAAAGTGATGCCGGGATGGGAACAAAGGACATTGCAGAAGCCGCAGCATCATATTTTAGTTGTCAAGACCCTTGCGGTTCGTGCTAGACGCCCAAGCAAAAATTACAAGCCTACGCAAATGTCGCTGTCATCGCCACCGTTCCGGCTACTGGCTGCTGAAGCTTCCCCGAAATGTCAGCAATTGGAGAGGGAAGTGCACTGTAGGCACGGCGCCGGCCACAAAACCTCTGTTTCTTCGACACCATCAGCATTGCGGTCGGCTTGCAGCATGGTGCTTCTATGACGTCATGAGGCAGAATTTGATGGACCAATTTTTAGAGCGCGGTAAACACAGCTGTCAGAGCCGCCTTAAAGTCACGATGGTATCGCCGCAATTGGGGAGGCTCCCTTGGGGACCTCATTTGCGTATTTTAATTGTTGCCATCTTTAGGATACTTATATAGATCGCCGGTGCAGGATGCGTAAGCGTACGAATAAGAGACGCTGTTAAGGCATCGTAATAAAGTACAAAATGCCCCCCCCCCCCAAAAAAAAAAAAAAAAATTACCAGATTTTTTTTTTTTTTTTTTACCGCAAAAATATATTATGCATTGCTTAACACTCATTCTCCGACAAAAGGTAGCGCAAGAGGTCACTACCATGCCAATGTTTCAGCCCGAACCGACACCTTATTCAGAAGTTATAAGTGATTTTCTGAAAATTTCAATGGAAAAATGGAGCTTATTTTTGCTCATTTTCGGTTTCTGGTGCCATAGGGCCGCATGTATTCGAAAACTTCGTCGGCCGCCATTTTCCCATTGTACTTTCAGAAAATCACTTATAACTTTTGAATAAGGTATCGGATTGGGCTGAAACTCTGCCATCTGGTTGTGACCTCTAGCGCCACATATGGGCAGAGAATGAGCGTTCCGCGATGCATAGTTTACTTTTGTTGTAAAAAAACCCTGTAAATTGTTTTAGAGCGCAGTTCTTAGGCGCCCGTTTCCGGCTTGAGCGGCGTCGTCGTCGCCGTCGGCGTAATCGCGCGGTGCGTTATGGAAAATGCCCCATAATGCACTGTGTGGGTAGGAGGATGAAGGAGGAGGGGGAGGGGAAAAGGACGAAGGGAGGGGGACGAGGGGGTGGAGAGGAGTAGAGGGAGGAGAAGGAAAGGAGGAGGAGGAGAGGGGGAAGGAGGGGGACGGGAGATGGAAGAGGGGGAGGAAGAAGAGGTTGACGAGGAGGAGGAAGGATGGGTATACCCTCCCCCAGTACCCTTCCCTCCTCCTCAAGAGCGCTCCAATTCGGCGTTGCAGGGTGTTGTAAACGTCGTTTATTTTTGCGACAACCTGTACAATTCGGCGAATTTGCCATGGTGTAAGGTCCATAAACAAGTAACTCAGTCCTATTAACAGCTAAAACGAGACAGGAAAGACTGCGAAGAGCGTACGTACGGCCCTCTTCTGAAGCGCCTTGAAACTCCTGATGAGCAGGAGGACGATGAAGCTGACCTGAAGGTAGAGGGCGTAGACTTTCTCGGTCAAGCTCGGCGTGACCAAGCTGATGAGCACGAACTCGGCCACGACGAGAAAGAAGAGAACCACGTCCATATGCTGCCATGCGTCCCGGCTGAGTGCGAACGTGCCCGTCGTGTACACCTACACGGAGGGTCGTCTGTCAAGGCAGGACTCGTGCACGCGCATTTGGAGTAGGCTCGTTCAATACCGCCTAAATTAGCTCTCTCAGTGCGTCATATCCCAACAGTCCCTTACGTAAAATTACGTTACACACATGACGTGACACCTTAAGTCGCAAAGTCACATACTTGGCGTGAAGCGATATTATGAAGTCACGTAACACCGCCTGCACGATCACGAGATGCCATGGCGTCACGTGACATCACAGTCCTCGACGATTCTTCGTGACGGTTTTCTCATAAAATTCGGCGGAGAAAACAAGTTCTGCGCTAAAGCGACGTACTGCAGATTTTATTGAGCAACGCGAGGGGAAATGGCGTGCGGCTGATCGCTCGACATATTCTCCTTAGCAGCCCTAGAGATTAGACCTCACAACGCCCCCAGCACAGATGCCGCGCGCCGTCATATTGAGAAGACTAAAATTATCAGGAGACAGCCGACGCCACGCCACTTCGGGAATGTGTTTTTTGTTTCTAATCTTTTAAGTTTTGCGGCGTCTATGACCAGAGTAGAAAAATGATCTCCATTGGGGATGTCTGTTTCCCTTGAAACAGTATAGATTTGTCGAAATTAAGATTCTTAATCGCCTTAACGATTCCACTATGAGGAAGTTTGAGGACGTGTGAAACATTCTAAATTATGGATGACGAGAAGTTGAATATTGGTGAAAGATAACTCATATTCGTGTCATTGCAAGCGTGGGTTTGGGCGGATGGGGAGGGTAGCAGAAAGACGCCGCTCCGGTATAAGAACTATCCATGTTGCAGTTCACTGTGGCCAAGCTATACAAGCACCAACAAACACTGTGAATGTAGATGCGCACGCTGCATGTGCTCGCATTGTCATACAAAGTGAATAGCTAAAATAAGGCATTGGTGAACGACCGTAGCATGTGAAATTTGCTTTAGAATATTGCTGCAAATAAAAACGTGACCACGGCGTGCGACTATACTGGCGACGTGCTCCGCTGTGCTCGTGTAATATAGTAATAAATGTATACCGCATGGGACAGCTTGATTAATAGATCGAAATACAGTGGCATTTTTTTAAAGATCACCAATTATTAAAAGAGGTATTATGTCATTTGTGTAGTAAACACAGCTGATCTAAACTATACAAGCGGAATTTTTAGAATACTATACAGTATATCCATTGTACATACTTCCATAACCTTTTCACAAGAAACATAGCTTTGTCTCAATCGAAGCTTGCAAAAAGTTTTGTTTCAAGTATGATGAAAACATTTCTCGTTGCATGTATCGTATACCAAAGTACCGGGAGTTACCGAGAAAAGAAAAACGCGTTCTTCGGCCCGTGTTAATAAGCCATGCCTTGCAGAAAGCTCAAACTCCGTGAGAATGTGACGCTAGCGGTTAGGGTAGAACACGAAACTATCGGAGCATGATGTTGCCTGGGTAAAAAGATAATTCGTATAAACGAAAATTCTCTGTATTACGCTGCAAGACATGAAACACCCTCCGCTAAATGTGCTCCGTGCAAGATACCTAGATGTTTCAGAAACAAGCTCCAGTAAAGAACCGCGCTCTATGACAGTCACACAACTTCAAGAGAAAAGAAACACCAAGAAAACGACAAGGAGCACAAGATGTAGTATTAAACTAATTGGTACAATTGAAAAAAAAAAAAAACTTGATGAGAAGTTAATCTTATGTATTTAGTTGAGATGCCGGTAGTGTCAGATGTGACGGTACGCGAACTTCGATGACAAATATCTAAAAGAAACAAGGCTGGCTTCCTAGAGCAGCGTCTCAGCTTAGACTGGGTAGAAGGAAGCACTGCAAGGGCTGGGGCGCGCGAGCGTCTTGATACGCGATTGGTGATCCGCTCAGCTCTGGCGCTGGCTTTGGCAGTACTTTCTTACCCCGAGTCTCAGCCAATATTTATCTTTTCTTTTTTTTCTTTTTTACGCAACAACTAGGACACGCAGGTGAAATTGCTTTTCTGTTCTTTACTTCAAAAGTGTCAGAAGGCAACTTCCACAATTTCATGAACGAAGTTCGGGAGTCGTTGCACACCCACTTTAAAGACACCGTTAAGGGTAAGAAAAGGAAGGGATATACGTGTGGCCGATAGTTTATAATGATGTCCTATTTTGTGCATGCACATAATCACAAAAAACAACCTGCAACATGTTTTGATGTGACTTTCAAAAACGATAATTACAGCTTCAGTTTAATTTACCTCAGCATTTTTTTTTTCACCAGTAAGCGACATTTCTACGCGATTTTACGCGATAGAATGGAATAAAACAATTTCAAAATATGGACGACAACTGTAATCTTCTGCCCCCCCCCCCCCCCCCCCCCCCCCCGCCACCCTACCACACGCAAGCCCGCTGTCACACACGCCCGCTGTCGCACACGCCGTCTCGCGAGCAGACGGCCGGAAGAGCTCACTGGCGCAGCGACCGCAAGTATTAACAGGGAGTTTTCGTAGACCGCCTTTCCTGCTTCGGGCTCAGCAACACTTCCTTTGATTTCCTTGCTCTCAAGACTCTGACTGACTGACCGCCTTTCCCCCTCCGCTAAGCCGTCCGCAACGAAGAAGCCGCTACTGCGCCAGCGCGCCGACGGCCTTGACTGTAGAGTTCGGGATATTGTAGTGGGCTGCGGAGGACGTTGCGGGACGGCGAAAACGATCTACGAAAACTCCCTAATTTATGTCAGCCTCAGGGTGCGCCGTGTGTGCGGAGCAAGGTGACAGGCGGCGCAGGTAGTATTCTGCGCCGGCCGGAGCACTGTTTCAGCTCATATTGTCCGCGGTAGTACCTTCGGATTATTTTTTAATGTTCCCGACTATTAGGGCAGACGTGATTATGACGCAAAAAACCTTGACCGAGTTGGAGAGCACTACTTCTGGGCATACAAAGACATATCTATAGGACGAAATATCGTCAATACACAATAAGAAAATGTTATATTTTTATATCGCTCATCGTATATAATACACCCCAAAACTTCAGTTGGTCGTACAGCACACTGATGTTAAACCGACGCTACAAACTTTCATGATCGGCTTGATAGCCGAGATGGACAACTCAAGAAATTAGGAAATGCAAATGTAACTGAGTGCAAAACAAGTGATCGGGGTTTCCTTGGCCAAACCGCAAAACCTAAGTGCTTTTTTGTAGTCGTTGATACGTTCTTTAGCTGTTCATGATCTTATAGCGCACCCTCATCAAGCCGTAAAAGTTGGGACGGTAAGTTCGACGTCCGTGCGCTGTACGTCGAACTTAAGTTTTCAGGTGTCATATATGTGACAGCGGGTGTAATGGCTGCACACTTTTTTAGAGTGCGCGGTGTCCTGCGAGATTTTGAGCCGTGAGAACATCATGTGTATCCTCCCTTTATGTGGTATTAGCTGTACACGTCTGCTGGCAGTGCTCGTCCTTTGGGTCTTTCTGCACACGAATCGCTGTGAAAAAGTAGTGACCGTACCACGATGAGTATCTCCATGGCGAAGAGGAGCACGTAGATGCCCTGCGAGGTGACGACCAGCGAGAGCACAACATCGGTCATTCGGTAGTTGGAGTAGACGGCGAGGCCGCTGAGTAGCAGCATGAAACCGATGGAAACGCTGCCGACGAGCACGTGGAACCAGCCCTGGGTGAGCGACGAGGACAGCATGTCCATGTCCATCCCCAGGTGCGTGGTGTCCGTGTCCTCCAGGATGCGCGTTGAGATCCGGCGGGAGCTGCGTTTCTCGATTACCTCAGTGCCGGCGAACCGTTGGACAAGGTCTTTCTGCAAAGCCAGTCGGTACCAGAGGGCGGTCCCCCAAAGAATGTTCCATGTTATTTTACTCACAATATAATTCTACACATCAAAATTCAACTACCACTGAAAATTCAAGTGACTACACCTAGGACTAACTTCTCTAAAGTTCTTTCCTTACAATTGGCTATTACTGAGTGGAACAACCTCCCGGAACCTATTGTGAGTATTCCAGAATGCAATAACTTCAGATCTGCCATTTCCTCTATCGTCACCATCTTGCGTCCTGTTTGCACGTGTCCACAAACATTCTAATATTTTTTGTTTGCTGTGTTGCTTTAGTGTTTAAATTTGCCCCCCCCCCCCCCCTCTTTTTTTATGTAAAGCCATCTGGTGGACATTGAAGGGTGAAATAAATGAAACGGATTGAAATGAATCCTCGAATGTTCAGTTTCGGCCCGAGTGTTTCGCTGGCTGTCCAAACAAGGTGCCAAAGGTTTAGAACGAACAATTAAATTAGGTTAAATGGTTCAAACCAATGGGAAGGAGCCCAATTTTCTCAGTGAATGCTTTAGATAATCGCTTGTACATTTTAAATAGGATAAAGGCTTTTCTTTTGTTCTTTTTCATTTAAGGGGGGCGGGGTGGGAGGTGGAATGCTGGGTGACCTATTAAGGGTGGAAGTGATATCTAAAAAGAGGAACTTTTAAATAAAATTAAGTGTATCCTCATACTATGCGCATAAGGCCGGGAGACGGGTAGAGTGTAATGATGTTGTTGATCATCGTGAGTTGCACGCCTATGCTACGTAAGATATTGGTCAAGAACTTAATAGGTTGGAATTCAAATCCAGGTTTTGCAAGGAATACTGAACCAAGGAATTTAGTGTCCATAATAAGTGGCGCACGTTCTTTCCACGAGCCAGCAGCCGCCGATGTGCGCGAGCACACGCAACAAAAATGACATCACAGACCTCCATTCGTGGTTGAGATGACAGTGAAATGTATGGGCTTCGGGCCAAAGGAGAATAAAGACAAGTTTTTCATCTACACAGTGTTGCCTGGTGTAAAAAGTAAGCGATGAATTGGTCTAACAAGCACGTAGCTTTCACTTGTAGAGATGAAAAGCCCATCTTTATTCTCCTTTGGCCCGAAGGCCATGCATTTCACTGTCCTCTTAAGCGCGAATGGAGGTCTTTGACGTCATTTTCGCTGTGTGTGCTCGCGCACACTGGCGGCTGCTGGCTCGTGGGAAGAACGTGCGCCACTTATTACGGGCACTAAATTCTTTGGTTCAGTGTACCTTTAAGCCACTTGTATAGGTGACACATGCTTACAAAAAGACACATTAAGAAAGAGGACACTTATGTAATAAGTTTGATTTAGTGTGGGTATTGTTGCAATCAATAATCGTTCGATAACGAACATTCAAAAACATTTTTTGGTGCAGATCTGTTGGAAACAGTCAAAAGTTTTGAGTGAAAAACTTTGTTATAATTTAACTATCAACATCACAATTTACTGTAATCATTACGCATGCATAAGTGAAAACAATTTATGATGCGCGATTCATATTGCAGCTTCGAAGGTGTTTAATTGTTCGGATAGACTAGCCTCACCCAATTGGTTCTATTAAACGTTCCCGATTTCCAGCTTGATACCAGTTTGATACCACAAAACTCTTCCTTACATATTTTCCATGTGATACCTGTTTGCGTATCGGTTTGACAAGAGCAAAAAAGGCTGTTTGGTAGTCATTTGCGAGAAGCGAAGTTATGCACGCCAGGTCAGTAAGAACCATCATATTGTTTGTCACATATTTGAAAAAAACTTGACAGGACGGACGAAGAGGGGGACAAACACAAAACATCTCAAACGCAGTAACTTACTTTTCAAATATTGTTTGTGTCGTCTTCTCTGTTTTATAATTTTTGATTGTCTTAGGATTGATATTTTTAAGTAATTTTTTGTTGTCTCTTCCAAGATAAAAACAAAATTGGCACTATTGAGGGGTTGTGTTAATTAGGTAAGTTACATAGAGAATATATTTGTGAATTTTAGAAATTTATTTTATATAACAAGACTGCAACCGAGGGGGTAAAAGCGGGAGCGGATTGTTTTATATAGATAAGGCGCCTCATATAGTCATGTTTCTGTTAAATACGGCAACTTAATTGCTCTAAAACGTGGGACACTCACCACAGCGTATATCCACCTTGGTACTGTAATATATTGCATCATCATTCCAATGTTGAGATACCTGAAACATAACACAGCGATTTCATGCGATGCTGAAGTTGCATCGGCAATTTTAAACTAATACATATTGATCTTGAACGCCTAAAAAACGAGCGACAGCTATAGCACTGGTCCTGTTTGTTTTATTTACTCATTCTTTAATCCAATAACCCACGTGACGTCAATTTGCCAGCTAGGTTTATCGGGGAAATTGATGTCACGTGAGCTCAACACCAATTCGGTTTTTCAGCTAAATTTAGCGGAGAAATTTTCGCTAAATTTAGCGGTTAATTTAGCGAAAATTTTCCGCTAAATGGGAGGGCAGCAGGAGAGGAGAAGATGAGGGTACAGAAGGGGATGAAAGGCGTGCCCTCTCCTACGTACCTTCCCCTCCTCCTCCTCAGGAGCTGCGCTCTAATTTGGCATACAGTTAATTCTAAACGTCTTTAATTTTTTGTTTCGAGCTTAGACAAGCATAATTTCCTCGATCATGATTATAAATCAGGGTAGTTACTGAAAGGTCATGTATTTAAGAATCTACTTCCTCTATGCCATAGCTTGTGCGTTTTTGTTTTCTTTGTGTAGCTCGTGTGCCGAAACTTTATAAATGATATTTCAAAAATATACCTTTCTAAAAAGATAATTGGTTCGAGTTTAATTTGGTTACAAGAGATTAAAGTTTTATATAAACAATAATAATTGTTATTACCCAGAGTTTTCTAAAGATCGGAGCGGAGTGGCTTTGGTCATTTGTATTTTGGATAAGCGCAATTCGTTGTTTTTAGCATGGGCAGGGTTTTCTTACTTGCTTATACGGGTGTCACCAATACTCAAAAATAGTAGTGAGAACGTAAATGAACTGTTTTAATATATAATTTCACTCTTATCCAGTGAGACAATAAATGTTTAAATCTGCAGATAAACCCACTAGATAATGTCTAAGCACTATGTTGAGACTTACCTCTCTCTCTCGAGTGGATACTGGAGCGCGGCCAACATTGTCATTTTGGTCCGCTTGTGAATCATCCCGTCCTCGTACTGTTTGTTGTAGCGCACCTGAACAAGAGGCACACCATTCATGCCGACGACCGTACGTAGACAGAGCTTGTCACCCAAGTTATGATCTGCTATGTAAAATCTAGCATATAACCTAGCTACGCTGTTGTTTCTCTCGTCATCGCTTTGTGCTATTCCCGAGTAGCAGAAGTCACGGGCACTTTTCACCATATAATATTCATCCCTATTACACACTGTGTGGCAAAAGATGGAAAATTCCAGGCAGCACACAGTAACATAGATTGATGGGCGTGTTCGCTGCGTTGAGGAACACCGAAAGTGTTAGAAACATATGAGACCAAGACGAACCTACACTTCCTTTCAACTAGCAACAGTACAATAAAAGCTGTCAGAACCGCAGCGATCTTTTTTTGGAATCACACCTCACAGTAAAAAACGAAGAAAGAGGAATGTAAGGGGGGGGGGGGGGCAAGAAAGGAGTGGATATCTTGAAAATTTAAAGGATTAGAAAATGAAAAGGAAGGTTAACTTGACGCTGAAATCTACATAACTTCCTATAATTATGACCAAACGGCGCTATGTCCATTCTGAAGACAAGAACCCAGTCTAATCTCGAGTTAAAACGACTGACGGAGTTGAAACTTTTGTTTTCGGCTTTGTTCATGTTGAATCATTCTTTTATCTATCTGCCGAACATGCCATGGTGTACTTCTACAATGCTGGTTCGCTCAAAACATAGAATGCAACCACCGACCGAAAAGAAACGAACCACGATAGAGTGACAGTTGTGAGTTGAGGCCTGCGAAAAGTCTAAAAAATGTCCCTCCTTTCGAAGTCATATCCTTGCTTATTGAAAGACGGCTTCCATGCTTAGCGCAATGGTTAGCCAGTGCGGGCTTTCCTTTAGATTTTCTGTGGAACACTTTACTAGTATTCATTCTTCGTTTTAACCGCCCAAGATCTGTAACCAAAAGTAAGAATTTGGATTGTTTTGCTGTCATCCCCTATGAACACAACTCAGCGCACCGTTTGGAGACGCCCGCTGGGGGCACCTGTGTAAGCAGGTGCTTGGTGAGTGGCGTCAACACACGCACCCAAGCCATGCGGGTTCACCCGCCCACGTCTGGCTGTGCGTGGCACTCCCGTGTCTGGGCAAAAAGGGCATCCTCGTGGTTGAGCCGAGCCCGGGGTAGGTTTGGACACATTGGGGCCCCTCGAGTGAGGTAATACACCACTTCGGCCCCCGCTTCTCATAGGCGGGAGCCCTGGTAAGGCCCGGCCAGGATGATTCAGTCTAGTCGCCACTTCTACTATGCCCTCCCTTCTTTAACCCTTGTCCTCTCGTTCTTTTAACTCTTCTGAATTCTCTTCTTTCCTTCTTGAGCTCCTTTGGTGGCAAGGGCTAACCTTGGGTGGCGACAGCCCCTTGCCCAGAACCACACTCGGTTATAGTTCCTGGGCGGTGCTAATAGCATAAGGTCTCCAGCAAGAAGCCCTTTTTGTTATGGTGCGTTATCTATTTCCTTGTTGGGCTCCGTGGTAGGCGACACACCACAGGTTCCGAACAAACTTCGCGTCTCATGGCAAACTCTCAAACCAAAACCCCCAGTTCTGGACGTGCCACTAAGAGGCTTCGTCCCGAACGAACAGTCATAGCGAAGATAAGGTAGATGAAACTTTTTCAAGATTTATGGTGCTACACTCCGAGGTCCCTGATAAACCTCTCTTAAAGATGTCACCGTTTCTTGTAGCAAAGGTTCTCGACAGTCAGATAGGTGGTGATTACAAAGCAAAGAAACTGCTATCTGGTGATCTGCGTGTTCAAGCTGCAAAAACGTCCCAGAGCACTACGCTTCTAAAATTGACATCCTAGGTGACGTGCAAGTAACAGTGAACGCACACAGAACCCTCAACACTATTTGAGGGGTGACTTGAAGACTAGATCTTGGAAGGCCTTCGGGCATCTAGAGTAGTGGCGGTCAAACGCATTATGACGAGGAGTGACGGCGCAGAGGTAAAAACTAAACACCTTATCCTGATCTTTGAATGTCACACGCTTCCTGCACTCGTCCAAGATGGCTACATAAATTGCCATGTCAAACCGTACGTCCCAAACCCGCGGCGATGCTTCCGTTGCCAGCGTTTTGGTAACGGGTCACGCAGCTGTCGGGGGAGGGAGACGTGTGCAAACAGCGACAGCAACGACACGTGGCCGACGTCTGTGAAACCAGTTGCCTGCGCTAAATGCAGGGGTCCTCACCCTGCTTACTCTCGCTCCTGCCCTTTGTTGCGACAAGAAAAGGAAATTCTTAGCTTACGACCCAAACAGAACCTGTGGTATCCTTTAGCAAAACAAAAGTTTTCCTTCATTTCCAAAGGCACCTACTCCGACGCGGAGCGCAGGGGCCCTGCACCACGTAAGGAATCCAGGGCCACTCAGTTCTCTTTTGAGAACTTGGCAGGCCCCTTTCAGGCCCCTAAACAACCTGCGGGGAAGCAGGGTGCCGCAGGTAACGCTGGGAGCACACAGACACCCCAGTCGATTCAGGCACGACCTCCGCCTGACTGGCAGCCTCGTGCCAGAGGTTCTTCTCAAAATGGTAAGCGAAACCGTCGTTGCACTTCCTCGAAGGCGGCCCGCCTTGTTAGGGAGCAACAAGGCCCCTCTGCTGCTCCATCAACGACAAAAGATGTTGAAAACGTGAATGTGGGTGGGTCACGGCCTGGTACGCCGAAGCCTCGTTCGGCGGAGTCTGGCCGTGGCCGGAAACTTATGTCTCAGGTCTCCGACTACGTCGGAACTGGCAAACCTGTGTCCAAGATTCAGGATGCAGTGGGTGCTGTTGACACTGCCGACTGTTCAGGTCCTTCCTCGGATGAGGAGGACATGGAATGGCAAACCTCTATATCGAAACAGAAAGGAAAAAAGCCGGTGGTTCCTCCTAAGGAATGCACATGCAGAATTGCTTAATTTATTTATTAAATCTTTTATCATTAAAAACTGGCTCTGTAATTCTTTAGTGGAACTGCCGTGGCTTTTTCACTAACCTTGCAGATGTTCAGCTCCTTTTAGAAGAATATAAGGCCTTATGTTCGCAGGAAACAGACTTGAATACTTTTCACACTAACTTTCTAAGACACTACAGTATGTTTCGTAAAGACCACCCTAGCAGGTCCATTTCGTGTGGTGGCGTTGCGGTGGTGCTTCCAAAACATATTCCATGTGCAGAGGTTCCGCTTCAGACGCCACTCGAAGCTATCGCTGTTCGTCTCTTGTTGCATAAAGCAATAACTCTATGTTCAGAGTACATTCGCTCTCTCTTTCTCTGAAGCGACAAGATCTCGACTCCCGTTTAAGCAAACTTCCAGATACCTTTCTTTTACTCGGTGATTTTAACGTACCCTTTGTGGAAGTAGTCATACAGATACACGCGGAAGATTATCGATTTCATGTTATATTCACATCCACTATGCGTTTTAACACTGGCCATCCTACATATTTTAGTTGATCATCTTTGTCATGTAGATGCATCGATCTTTCTATTGGCAGTGAAAGTATGCTACCTGACTTTTTATGGAGTGTTGAGCAGAATCCCCATGGAAGTGACTACATCCCCATTATTTTAAAATGTAAAGACACACTTCAGTCTTCACCTACGCGCCATCCACGATGGAAGTTTGAAAATGCAGACTGGAGCCTTCTTAAGCAGTTATCACTCCTGGCCTATTGTCGCCTCGATCAGCTTTCGATTGATGAGCTGAATCATCCTTTAACATCCGATATTCTCACTGCAGCGTCACTTTCAATCCCTCGGTCATTTGGACAGCTTCCTCGACGACCGAAGCCATGGTGGAATGAAGACTGTAAAGAGAGTCGCAAATAGCAATACAAAGGTTGGGGTATTCTAAGACGTTATCCAACTCGGGATAACGTGGTATGTTTCCGAAAAATGGAAGCTCGTGCTAAGTACATTCGTCGCAAAGGAAGCGTGAGAGTAGGCAAAATAATGCATCCTCTATCAAAATAGTACTTGTCTCAAAAAAGTATGGCACAGGATTCATAAAGTAAATGGCTCTTATCACGCTTTCGCCATTCCACTTCATTCAGGAAATGGAAAATGCCCAAGCAACTTTGAAGAGCAGGGTAACATCCTTGGCGAGCATTTTTAATTTATCTCCAGCTCGCAGCACTATTCGCCTGGATTTCCGAAGCATAAAAGTAAAGCTGAAAGTATGATAGTGAAAACATCCGGTGGTGAATGCGAATCTTATAATTCCTCCTTTACCTTACACGAACTGAACATAGTGCTCCAAAACTCTAAGTCATCATCTCCTGGCCCAGATGGTATTCACTACTATATGCTTCAACATCTATATCCTTCCAAACTCGATATTGTTTTATACCTTTTCAATTGCATTTGGTTTGAGGGCTACTTTCCATTGGAGTGAAGAATGGCAACAGTCATTCCATAATCAAGCCCGGTAGGGAGCTATCCTGTGCAGCTAATTATCGGCCTATCGCTTTGACCAGCTTCCTTGGAAAGACTCTTGAACGAATAATTAATAGAAGGCTGATGTACTTCCTGGAATGAAATTAAACATCTAGATGTGAATCAATGCGAGTATCGGTCGTCTCAGTCCACTCTTGACCATTTAGTACGGCTCATAGACAACATTGCCTATCTGTGTTTTCGAACTCTAAAGAGCCTACGGTACAGCCTGGCGTTGTGGTACACTGAGGGACTTGTATCATCTGCGTATTCGCGGTAGAATGCTTTGTATCATTGAGAGCTACCTCAGCAAGCGTACCTTTCGTGTTCAGATAGGAGCAACTTTATGTAAAATGTTTGTCCAGGCAAATGGTGTTCCACAGGGAGGCGTTATTAGTTTCACTTTTTTTACTGTCCAATTAAACTCCTTTGCATGGGCTATCCTCCCATCGGTGCAATATTCACTCGAAGTGAACGACCTTCAGATATCAGTGTCCTCTTGCAATCTCTCAGCTATTAACCTGGGCCAATCAAAATGGGTTTAAGTTTTCCTCAGATAAAACAGTTTTTCTG